TCTTAGCTCGGATACGCGCAAAGGCTACGAGCGCGAGCTCCTCAAGTTGAACGGCGACTCGGCTCCACGAGCGGTCGAGCAGCTGGGCCACCTGTCAATGCTATCCACTCGCGCTTGTATATCTGCTTTCGTACAGCGCGTGCAAATCATTGTGTACCTAACTCACAGGTTATGATGGCCGACGATATGTGGATGAAATTTATATTTACACATCCCAACAATCACATCGAGTTGAATGGACAGCAAGGGTGGGTGTCGATATTAGGAAGTTTTAGTGGATCAGTTTTAGCTCTCCGATAACCGTGCCATGATATAACAGCTAGCTTTGCTGTGAGCATTTTCTATTGAGCACAGATATCGGAGCGGAAAACAGGAAGCCTTCGTAGATCGTTTCCGCTGTCCCGCAACGTTTTCCCACACCCGCGACGACATCCGGGACTTTGCAGGCAAGGCTAGCGCCGCCGCGCATGCGCAGTAGTGGCGTCTTCGTTTCGGAGCGCGTAGCAGAGGTGGAAAAACGGTATACGAAGATTCACTATTAAAACCCCGGAGTTTAGCTTGTCGTTTAATCGTTCAACCATAGCACGGGCTGCTACTTCAAAGTTTTCTTTGGAGTCTTCAAGAAACTAAAGCAAAAGCAGCGCCCTTTTTTAACATGTCCCGGGACTGCAATTTGACATTGTAAAAACATTATAGATACACTTACGCAGTTAGCCCCAACAAACTGGTGCCGGTTTTTCCCGTTTCTGTTTTTTTCTTTAGAAGTTAAAAATGTTTAAAAAACTGCTATATGCGAGAATCCAACCTAAGCGGTAGATCTTAGTTCTAGACAATACATTGCTGGAGGAAAATAACAAAAAGAGCCGATGTGGTGTTCGCGCTAACAGTATCGCGTAATGTACGCATACCTTTACATGATCAGAGTGAATGAATGAGTTTATTGTACAAAGAAAATTGTTGTTCTTTTAGCTGGAGAGTTATTTTTATGCACGCAATTCGGCAAAGAGTCAAATTGCTTGACGTAGATAGAACTCTAAACCAGCAGTAATAGAGCGTACTCGCAAAATCTCTATCTGGCATACCGGAGGTTATGTTAAAATGTTCGAGAAATGGACTCGTTTTTTGCTCTACGTGACACAGCTAGCGACAGCACAAAATTGACATTTTAACGCAAGAATCATGCATATTTTAATGTACAAGAACAAATCGATGCCACGTAAGTTGGTGCCCAATAGCAGTACTCTTTGCCGAATTGCTTGTATAAAAATAAATCCCCAGCTAAAAAAAAAAAAAAAAAAATAATTTTTTTTGTTTAATAAATTTATTTACAAGAACTTGTTCTTGGGCTAGTTGGTGTTGACTGTATTCAACCATGGTTAAAAGTGCTAAAAAGACGTACACACGATAGAAGACAAACACGGCCGCTACTCACAACTGTCACAGTTACTTTTTTATTCGCGGCGATTTCTAGTCCGAAAGTACGTAATTCGGATCGTAAAAGGTGTGCGTAAGCACATCGCCAACCGTTGCTTGCAGTGCAATTGTTTTTTTACGAATCATTTATTATTCCTTACATCACCGACATTGTTTTGTATTATCACCGTGTGTTCGATTTATTATGTTCACTTTGGTTGGATTGAACTGTTTATCTAAGTGAAAATAGTTTGTTATTCTTTGCCTTGAAATTGCCATCCTTCACCCCACAAATATTTCGAAATATCCGTTCTCTATATATCTGAGATCAATTTCCGCATCCCGTCGAAATAACATGAATTAAGCAATATTGCATACTTATTAATTTGAGCATTTTCTAGCCCACAAACAATTTTCCCGAAGCATGAAGGCGTATAAGTTGGAGATGGTCCGCGCTCCCCCGTTGCTCCGTGTCTCGTGCAAAACCGACAGCGTGAGCAGGGGAGCGAGGGGGCCCCATGGGGGGGGGGGGGGGGGGGGGGGGGGGGGGGGGGGGCCTCGAACCCCCCTCCCAGCCCTTCCCCCCCCTCTGCCTACGCCACTGTCATGACCTCATGTTGGAGAATGTAGAGCTAGAAAACGCCATAGGCGCCGACCACGGGGGAGCTCGGGAGCCCCTCTCCCGAGCTCTTGGGAAAGGCAAGTACCATCGCCTCCGGAATCTTTGGGTGCACCTCATTAATCTTATCTGTGCACTGGCGCCCGGTTTATAATTAAAAATTTATCTGTGCGCCCTGGTGCTCAGTAGATACATAAGAATTTATCCACTCTGGTTACTACCAGAGCTGGTGAGTGGATACATTTTTGTTACTGTTCGCACAGCCCTGTTCGAAGACCCTGCGTAGCAACAGCAAATACGATAAAGGCTAGTGTTGGACATTCCTTTGAAAGCCCGAGGACAGCGGCGGTAGACTTTCCATTTTACCGGGTTGGGGGGGGGGGGGGGGGGGGGGGGGGCAGGGCAGGCTGCGAAGTTCTCCGGGGTGGGGGGGTTGTGGGGGGGGGGGGGGGGGGGGGGGTGCTGCACCGCGTAACCTTTTCGCCAGAACTGGAGATTGAAGCTAACGAAATCACGCTGGGGTTCCATTTCCCATGTATTTTGTCAATAAAGGTAACCTGGCCGTTATTTTGTTTACATGCCACTACTAGAAGCTCATTACATGGCACGTAAACAGCGTCTCGGTAAGAATCATGGCCCGGGCCCGGATGGGTTCTGTCCGTCCCCCCCCCCCCCCCCCCCCCCTTTTTCGAAGTCTACGCCTATGCTCGTGGAAGTAGTTGCGAAATACGACAGTGGCGTACCATGCAGCCTACAGAAGTAGACGATATAATCCGTTTTGCAAGCCCCATTTTGTTTTCCCAAACGTAGAAAAAATGCATTACATTAGTGCGCTTCAATCACGGAATTCATTGATCACAACTACCGGGTGATTCAAGGAGACGGCAGGCTCTTTAAATCGACCAAAAAATTCGATTTCCTAACCTATCGCACTACGACTTTGTGCAGCGTTGCCCTGGTGCCCACAGATGGTGCATTTTTTTGTAAAATTTGCAAAGAGCGAACTTACCTGAGGAAAAAGTGAAGAAGAGGCTGACGTAGAGAGGATGGCCTAGTCGTTCCAGCCACCGAAGCGGCTGTTTTTGTACGAATTTTGAGTGACGGGATAATCTTCTGTAATCTTGTAGGGGGACAATAGCGACTTCTGCGATACACAAAAGGCATTCTCGGGAAGAGGGGAGTTCCTCCTGCCCCTCTTCTCTCGTCGTGGTCGGAGGCGAGACAACCTCCGTCACTAGCTGTCAAGGTCCCTAGATGGGCATTACAAGCGAGGCGTTAGCGACATTTTTTAACAAAATATTGGTATGTTCGATGTGATGCTGTTCCTGTGAACACATATAGACCAAAAATTGAGCGCCGAAATTTCGTTGTAGTATCCCTTTAAAGCCATACTACAAGTATTTGCTTCTGACTTCGACGCATGTGAAGGACACACAAGTGAGCTCGTTCTGAAGAACTTGTTCTGGTGCAGCACGAATATTGTGCTGGAAAACTATTGTGGAAAGCCAGGAAAGGTGAACGAAAAGCTTATGAGGCTAATTTCAAGTCAAAGAACAGAAAATGTAAAACCCGAAGCCCTAAAATCTAAATAATTATTTTATATTCAGTACAACAGTTGTCTTAGCATTATTCTTGTGTGCATTGCCGTACATGTGCTGTGTCTTAGTGTCACGAAAGTTTCTTGTGTTTGAATTGTATCAAGATAGATACAAGAAGATAGTGTGGATACACGAGAATATACAATTTGAAGCTTTCAAAGGTAAGATAACTTATATTCACAGCATCTATTCGTAGTGTGAATGAGCGCGGGTAGATGTGTGTATGAAGGTCTCACAGCTGCATGTGTCCCTTACTGAAAATTATGCTTTAAGTTTGCTAAGTTTGCCTGCACTCCGTTAAATCAAAACTTGTGTGCTTTGATCTAGGCGGCGTCTTTGCCTCTTTTTTTGTGCGTTTAATTTTTCGTCTTCGTGTCTCAGTTTCGGATTCCCAGGTCGCTTGCAGTTTTATTGTTATTATCATATTTTTACTTCTGGAAAAAAAATCCATTTCAACAGATTACATTTTTTCGTGCTCCAAAAATCCGCATTTCTAAGTAATCTTCTTTACATTAGCTTGACATGCGAATTCAGTGACCACACATGTCATCACCAACTTGATAGTTGCTGTTATGCAATTTGAAAGGGCCCATCACTTACAATAACGTTTCAGGGCATTTATTTTTTGTTTGTTTGTTTGTCTTCAAACTCCTAGAGATAATTAAAGCACCCAAGATTTGGATGCCTAAAACGAAAACCCATCTCTCTCAAAACGTCGTGAACCTTGTTCTTTCATATCCTAACAATAATTGGACGTCCCATGTAACAAAATATGTTTCCCAGTTATACAGATATTTATAAATCCTTTTTACCAATCAACAAACGTTTGGGTCAACAAAAAATGCCACTCTACGTCGGTAAATCCATGCGTGACGCCTTCAGTGCAGCGCTTTTCCGCGGCGCTCGCCAGCCGACTCGTGTGACGTCACCGGAGGAGGGCTGCGGGTGTTGGTACATCACGGATGTGCAGGCGTACCGAGGCAACACCACCTGTCAGCCAGCGCGTAGCCTCCACAAGCCATGCTCCCTTGAAGCCTCGACTCTTTCTTTATATTCCTCCTTACTCTTCTCACTTATCAGGCCAACGTGACCACATCACGTGACCGTAGCTAGCCTCCGATCTGATAAAACCTACCGGACGGAGCGCGCGCAAGCCTGCAAGGAATTCTTCTACAATCAACCATCCATCTGACACGTGACATCTACGGTCACGTTGGCCACAACATCGTTTAAACTTTTATGACTAGGCTTCACCAATAATGTATATTCGGCGAGCCCAGAGATTATGGCTAAAGCATTTTCTTAGGCAAGGTGGCGCAAGCTACCGCCCGTTACAAAGGGCATAGCCAATATAATTTATATTCATCCATCCATCCGTGTTGTTTCGTTTTCAACATGTGATTCGCTCGTGTTTGGGTGGTTTGGACCAGGACAGGAGCGAGCACACGGCAGGGGTTCTTCTTTTACTGCTTACAACTGATTTCGAGAATGATTCGCATGGTAACGTCCGTATACTCATTTGCACGTTCTCGAAGCATCCTGCCGACGGTTTGCCAAACGTTCTGCGCAACAGTATCGGGCAAGCAGTACCGCGAGAACGAAAACGAATACTTTCACCGGGTTCTCGAGAACCTCCCAAGCTACAGGAACACTGTGATCCCGCATCCGTCCAAGTCGGCAAATTCTGCTGCACGCTTCAGAGGTACGCTCAACGATTTTTACGTGCATCACTTTTGCGAAGTTTCCGTCCGGACGGACGAACGTACGTCGAACATCGAAAGCCCGGAGCACGCAGAGCTCATCCAACAACTAGTAAATCACCTGCCCCGTGTTTCCAATGATGGCCTCAGAGACATTGCGTACCATCTTTGCCTGTGGCCAGCCACCGCAGCAACGACTACGCCGCACTTCAAGTTGCTCTGGAATGCCCTGGACAGCGAATGCGCGCAGCGGTGCCCTGGCTGGAGCAAAGACCGCCAGCTACTCATCGCGGACTGCTTCTATCACCTGAGGCTCAGCAGGATATCACGGTACAATCGGACCATGTTGCGCTGTGTCTCCAGGGTAGTGTCAAGGTTATCGGTACAAGACGTGGTACAGTTGCTGTACTATTCTAACCTCCAGCGTTGGATGGTCTCCGCGGCTAAGCCGGTGATGGAAGCCAAGCTGTTATCAGAGTTCTGTACGCTTACGATTGGCGAACTCGGTAGCGTGTGTCAGAGTTACTTCAAGTGCCAACAGCGGATTGAGCTAAAAGAGCTTTTGCACCAACTTGCGAATGTGCTGGTTCAAAGTCTTCCAAGAGTAGATAGTTTCGTCGTTTGTGCCATCGTTAAGCAACTTCGGTACAGTGCAAGTGCGAAAGAAGCGGTACCTTGGAAGATTGTATTGGAAGCCTGCGAGCCCCACATTAGTCGATGGGATGCGCCCACTGCGATACAACTGGTCATGTTGGCCACTCACGTCAAAAGCTACCACCCCAGACTGCTAGATGCTGTTGCTCGTCACCTCATTACGAAGCTGAACGCCATTCGCCTCAAGGAAGTTGCCAAACTGCTTCTAACACTGACTATGTTTAGCCACGAGATCGAAAATGAATCACAGTTTTACGACACTATCAAGAGTGACTTGAGGAGCCCATCTAGAAAACGAGAGATAGAAATGTACCACCAAAGTTTTGTCACTTGTGTCTGGTGCTTGGCGATGGCTGGGATGTATTCCGCCGACTTGATCGCAGCGGCTCTAAGCGAGGACATGGTTCGGAACAGTGTGAAACACCAGGACATCAGCTATCATGCCACGGCTCTGCAGTATTCGGTTCGGATAGAGAGCCCAACATACGACGGTCCATTTCTTGGTCAACAAGTACTTGACAGTTTGTACTCGATAAGACACTTGACAACTCGCTGTCCCGACTGGACAATGCAGGACCTCAGTCTACAAGAAAAGATTATCTTGCAAACCCTAGATTGCCTGCAAACCAAATATGGGAGTGCACCAGTTATTCGGCAACTTTTGCCCCACTTTCATTATCCAGACATAGTTTTTGGAGTGCAAATCGCTAACACTGATATTACGCTGTTGCAACTAGAACTATGCAGTGAGGATGGAGTGCTCGTGCCTCAGAGTAGTAGTGGTGCAGTCCCTTGTGCTGTGGTGGTGCATGGACTAGGGGCCTTCAGTGAAGGGTCGCAGCACCTGATGGGTCTTGCTAAGGTCAAAGTCCGTCAGCTTCATACTTTGGGATTTAGGGTGGTGGAGCTATCCCATTTTGAACTGTCTTGCATGTCTTCCAATTTTTGTATTCAAGATAAGCTTCTTGCAGCATGTACTACTTCACTGCCAAAGTTATAAGCCTCAGGTAAATTTGCAAGGACAACTTTCCACGAATCTTGAAAATGTGCATTTTATACTTTGGTATACAATTAGCAGGGTGTCTAGCGACCGGGATTGTCAGGGAAGTTTTAATACCTGAAAATATCATGGAATTTTCAGGGATATTGTCAAAAGCAAGTCCAGTCGGGGAAAATGAGCTGGAAACGCCATTGAGTGCCCTGAGCAAAGACTGGAGGGCTTAGGGGCAGAAAGATAGGCAATCCATTCTGCTTAGAGCAAAGCGTGGGCTCTGCTCACCCGATGTAGAGTGTGCTACCTGATGCTAATAGAACAGCCGACAAATCCAGTTCAAGTCTTGGATTGGATTGAGGGCGCGACACTAGGCCAGCTCCAATATGCAGTTAGAACTACTAGATTTAGTAACAAATGAAAAAGCCGCAGACCCCAATCCGATCTAAGCCTTAAGCCGAAAGCATTCGAAAGTGTGCATCTGGCGGCCATGCTGCCATTCGGTTATTGACGCGTGTGGTTGAGCGTTGTGTTTTCATTGCGTTTCCGAAAACGGCCTCTTCACTAACGATGTCGGCGGCAAGGAAGTGCTCATTTAATCCGGACTGGGCGAACCCGAATATTTCGGAATATGCAAGTCGAATTAAGCCCGTGCAAAATTATCGTTACAGAGCTCAATGCATTGTGTTGTAATGGTCATATATTTAACTGCCTCTACAGTGGTCAGGGAATTTCACCTGAGGTTGTCAGGGAAAACCTGGAAAAGTGGGAGATTTCAAAATAATAATTTGCTCGACAGCCTGAACAGTGCCATTGATAGATATCATTGGGGTAGACCTTGTTTTCAGTAAAATGCTTCTTTAGGTATCAGTTTGCAGGAATACAGATGCAGTAAAATGAAACTTTTTTTTTATATTCCAACTTTTTTTTTTACATTACCCTAAAGGTTCTAGTTGGAAATCTTTATTGTCCTTTTTGCCAAAAATTTGAATTTTAGGATTTTAACAGCAAATCTTTCCTGCTCATAGAGCTTAGGTGCTTTGAAGGGAACAGGCAACACAGCTGTAGCAAAGCTTTTTTCAGTTATTTTACTCGGAAACATTGTGTACAAGATGAATGCCACGGTATTACATGCCTTTTGAGCAACTGGAATTTGCGCGCATTACAAAATTACTCGTTGCATTTCGTATGGCAGTGTCTGCCTATGTAGAGTGGTGGTTGATAGCAGATGACACTTTGCCGACCACCCTTGGAGCTGGCACAACCGACATAAGTGTTGTTTGCCATCAGCCATCCATCTACCATACTCCGTTCGCCCCAAGCTGACACTGTGGTAGGAGCCAAGCACTTGCTGGACCGATAACCTTTCTCCCTTTCATCATCTCGCCCCATTTTCTTTTTGAGGGTACAGGCAGAATCACATGGCCAAGAAGTATGGCTGATCCAACGAGCACTTAGCTTCCACCCCACTGGTTGCTTAGGGGAAGTACAGATGGACAGTCTTATTTATGCAGCAAGTAGTTAACTGTGGCATGCTAAACATATTTCCAAGCCAATTGACAATACCATTGCTACAGCTGTTTCACCTGTCCCAGTTCCCCTCCGAAGCATATGCCAGCCTTTGCCGTTAGGCAAGAAAAGATCCATATGGCAATCTTCTTGTGTGACATGTAATTCAAAACAACTGGCTGCATTCAGATGAATCATAAATGCCTAGCACCACTCAACTTGGGAACTAATTCAACAATTGTCTGCAAACCTGCCATCCTAACATTACCCTTCTGGACATTATCACAGCTGATGAACCCACAAAAAGGTAAAAGAAAACTTTCAGACCTGCTGAAACAACACATTTGGTGGGCTGGTCTTTAACCCTTTAACACAAGGGTGGCCTCGGGGATCGGTGGCAGAGTAAGGTAACTCGCACCAGCTCCGAGCATGTGGAGCAAAAGCTTGCACTGCAGAACCCAGGGATCCTGTGTTCAATCCCCGCCCCTGCCTGTTTCGATCTGGATAAGCATTGTACCGGCGTGCGCTCGTGTATCACTACTGCGTGGTGCATGGTGCAAGACACCAGACTAGCGGTTGTACTGCACTGGCTAAATTGCTCGTCTACAGCCGAGACACCAGACGCACACCGAGGCAGAGTAACTTCGGCAGTATAAACACACACCAATCTTGTTCTGCCAGATGAACGTATGCAGAGCCGCAAGAAAAACTATTTTAACTGAAGGAGCTGCAGCAAGAAGCGGGTGTGGCAGTTTTGTTCGATTATTCAATTTAGGCGATTACGACGACGACTCGCGAAGTGATTTATCATATGTTTCTTCATGAAACAAGCACCTGCAAGTGAACACGTTGAAGTATTCCAGAAAGCACCTTGAAGCATAGTTAGGTAGTCAATGACCCTGATGCGTTTTAGACTTTACGGTTAGTACAGCGTAAATATAGTAGCACAAGATTGCCAAAACACAAACCATCTTTCTGCATTTATATCTTAATTTTGCTCGGGGGAGGAGTATACGTACCAGGGAGTAGCGAGCCGCACGTGGACCTGCGAAGAGCCGCATGCGGCTTGTAAGCCGCAGTTTGGCGACCCCTGCTTTACTGCATTGTGGGACGGGTCCATATCACATGAGCGAATGATGTTTTAGCAAACAGAGTCAGATGAGTGAATCAACATTTTAGTGAATAACAAGGGCGCGTGCTAAGCCCACCCCGCGCTGCACTTGCGCCGCTTTGCCCGACGACAGTCCGCGGCGGCTCATTACACAAATGTGGACCCACTTGGCCCACCCGTAAACGCTGCTTCGCGGCGGCCAACTATTCGCTAAAGTGTTATTCGGTGAAATGTGGGCGTTCGCTAAAACATCATTTGATCAGGTGAGTGCCTCCCATTGTGGGTCATATACAGCACACACCAGTGAAACATATATATTATTATAATGCTTTTTGATGTAGAACTACCATAGAATACCGTGCATCCACCCATACCACATTAAGCGCCCATACCCAAATTTGCAAGATCTGAGAAAATATGCACAGTACATTTATATGTAGAATTAATGACCGGACAAGTGCCCATGCCCCATTTTTTCATGATTATCTCAAAATTTTGAGTGGGCGCTTGCCCGGTATTTTACGGCAAGTCTTTTCCCATGCTTGGAAGGTATACGCTACGTTGCAAGTCAATGTCATGAAAACATGGTCACGGAAGTGACGTATCCAAGGCGTATACCAATAACGTAGCGAGCATGCTGTTGCGTCAACCACGGAGGTACCGTCGGCTCCATTTTTCCTGTTTCCTTCTGGCAACTGGTTGCTTTCTTTGTGTTTGCATCAATGACACGGCGAACATGCTACTGCGTCAGCTGCAGAGGCACCGTCGGCTCCTTTCATGTCTGCATGCTTCTTCTCAAAAAAAAAACTTTGTATCGTGTTTGAAATGTCCCAGTAGCACGCCCAGGTTTTCTCCTTCGACTTGCTTTGCATGCAATTCCGCATATGCGCCTCGGAGACGGCGGTGCGGGGGCTGCAAAATTGCCTCTCCCGGACTCCAAGCCACGAGCATTCACTTCTTGCACACCCGCCATCGTCATACGGCACAAGCCCTTGGACTTCTATCTCCAGCTGCCAGACAAGACATCTGGGAGGAGTAGACAAAGCACAGCCCCTCATACAACACCCCTCTTATTTCTTGTGCCCCCCCTCATATAGTTCTATGGAAATTTATGCACCATAGTACACCTATGCACAAACCAATTTTGTTCATTCGGCAAGCGGATCCAGATACGAGACATAGTTACGCTTCCAATGTCCCGTAATGCATTCGGGGTTGTCTTACAACTAGCATCAAATATGCCAATGCACAAGGCCTCATGTGGCCCCTGGTAGCAAACGGCAACGCAGCACTTGCTCGTAGCACGTCTTCCTTGCACAACTATTGGCCAATTCGTCTGGGCCCGCATAGCAACGGTGCAGTGCGGTTCAAATGCATGGAAGGCTAGAGGGGGAGCTTCCTTCTCTCCCTGCCAGTTTTTCGTGTACTGAAGTGGAAAGAGTTTACTGCACTGGACAGGTGCAGTGTGCCCCAGACGAATAGACCATATGGCTGTCGGTACATGCAAAATGCAGACTTTATCAAGGTGCTTTACCACTGCCTGCCAATGCCTGCCAAATAGCACCATCTATGCTCTGCTTTCGATTTTGAGTTTGCAGTTTTCATGGCCTTTTTCTATCATTTCCACCACAAACATTAAATGCTCTGTTTTTGTAACTAACTCCAGTAATTCAGCTCTTCAGAATCCTTTCAGAGTCCACCAGGCATGGCAAACATCTGCAGCGTATTTGCGTCGGCCAAGCACGCGCCCTCCTTGCCGCTCCGACCTTGGACGCTGTGTTACCCGCACGCTCGCGGCGTGTACACGCAGCGCCATGGGGTGGCGGTCGTTGAAACTGACGTGCAGCGGCCAATGGGAGCCTTTTTCCTTGAGAAAGTATGACGCGCGCCACCCAATGGGACTGAAGCCAAAATCCATCGGCTTCACTCCACTCCTTTGGGATAGAGGAACTAGGTGCTGTTTGGCTATGCTTTTAGCATTGTTTCAAAGTTGGAGATAGCGGCTTCACTTGGAGAAAAAAAGTTTAGGTGCCGTTTGGCATGGCTTCAAAGCTAATAATGCAGTTCGCTCCCTAAGACAGTTAATGCTTTCGCATAAAAAAAAAAAAGTCATATAGGATGAGTAAAGGAGTAAAGATCCTGATCATTTCATTGAATACTGACTTTATTGTGGTTCACAATGTACAGTGTGGTAAATGATCTTGATTTTACAGAGATGGATGTGAATCGGTCAGTGTTAGTCTGTCTCCACAAATCTATGCTTCCAAGTATGTTGAAGATCGCTCAACACCGGACACCGTTCGATCATACCGATTTACCGAAACCAGAGAAAACATAAAAACCCTCATCTGCATTTAGAGCAGCAGTAAAATAAACTTCCGCCTCCCAAAGCCGGTCAGCACAAATACAGAAAGCATGATTGACCACCTGACGACAGAAAGCTCAACTAAACATCCTTGTGGGGGGTGGGGGTTTGCCACAACTAAAACGAATGTACGTAAAATTTTTCCCCTGGGGTGAAAAAAAAAAAAAAAAGAAATGCCCTAAAAAAAATTTCTAAAAAATTGCAACGTAAATAAAAGACAGGAATAACATAGACCTGTTTGTTAAAAATGATAATGAATAAAAATCAGAGCCTATTTTCTTTTTTCCTTTTTGTTTTTGAGAGAGGCATGAAGGAGGGCAGCTACAAGGGGTGAGGGGGATGAAGACGTGACAGTCACCCATCCCCTTCAAGGTCACGAGATGAGTGAAGAGGGGCTGTCGGTCGCGGCCAGTGCGCTCTTGCGGCTGCTCTTGGCCTTGGCAACAACTTGCTTCTGCAGGGCAAGCAACTTGTTCTGCAACAGGAACAAGCAGATGGCAGAAACACTTTTATCTTTGGTCAGTTCTGTTTTCGATCATGTCTGACCGCATCCAACCATCCGGTGGAGTCAATCAAGCAGTGCCAAAAGTGCATGGTCACGGCGCTCCTTGCCTTTGTGCATCTGCTGTTGCAAACTACGCCAATCGTGCACAGTGATTGCGCCACAATATTTTTCTGTGCGTAATTGGCTTAGCCGGCGGTTTTTGGTCCCAGCTGAAGCCAAAACGAGACCAAAACTGATGTCACGTTACCATTTTTAAAAAGTGATGCTAACAAATTATATGCACACTTTTCATTCATTATAAACGTTCAACACAATATAAAATGAAGTTCTTTTTTTTTTTTTTTTAACGTAAAGAAACGATATTTAGAATGTTTCACATGAATTGAAGTGAGAGAGACATAACAAAAGTCTTAGTGGCACCAACATCACAATAATTGCGCTCGCCGGGGGTAGCCTTTTGCAGCGTGGTCGTTTTGGCGGCGGCTCAGGCTCCGAATCGTACCTCTTTTGACAATGATGGTTGCTATGGTACTTCCAAATGCCTCCCCCAATAGTAAGTGCTTCGCTGGCCGCGGTGACGCGGCGGATGCCGGCACCTGTCGCTCTATTGGGGCAAACCCCCTTCAGTTAACTGAGGTAGGCCAGCTGCTCAGTTCAACCAAACTGTTGTTGGCGGCTCAATGACAGTTGGCCCTGCCGTGCAAATCTGGCCGATCGCAATTCAATCAACTGTCCATGGCTCAATGACAGTTGACAGCGCTCGTGCAACTAGGGTATCAGAGGGTCAGTTTTCCCCCCCTCGTCATTCGCTTTTCCATTTTAGTAGTAGTGAGTGGCATGGTGCGGGGAATATGTTCGGTATAAACCGGTCGTGGTTATGTTTGTGGCGGACTCGACCCTCGTCAAACGTCGACTGGGCCTGCGGTATGTTTGACATTAAACTCAAATAAATGCAGCATGGACCATCCATCTATGCATCATGTGGTATGTACACTTCCTTTCTTGAGCAGGGGCTTTTTATTTGTTTTGGTGACACACGTCTCGGGTCGAGATAGCACAGCAATCTTGAGTGCCCCGCCAGCTCCGCAACAGTGTGTTGGCCATGCAATTACGCTCGCAATGTCTACATTGGTGCAGTGGTCATGTACATCGAGTCTATAACTTTTGGCAGTTTACATGACTGTCAAAGTGGATATAAAACCTGTCACTGCGGACGATCGGAGGCATGTTCCGATGTCCTACGAGAAAGGACAAACAAAACAGCGCAGCGCCTGGCTTTGGCGCCTCGAATAAGAAGCATGCAAGCTTACTCAAACCAAACCACCGGAGCGATGCCAGTAAAGTTTATTTTCATGGTGGATTCAAGTGACAGACGTGAACCTTGCATTTCTTCGCTGATTTGACTGTTGTAATGCTAGGATACTGTGCCTAGGATGCCTCACTAGTTACGGGTGCCATCTTGCTTACAAATTCACTGACGTCATGTCAGCGTCTCGCTGTAATAGGGAGTATTCACTGGCAGCCATAGTTGCGTGCAGAATGCTCAGTGCGTGCTAATGTTGAGCTTCCACAGTTCTTTTGCAACGTGCACCCCACACCATCCAGATTGGTCTTATCAGACTGTTAATTTGAGCTTGTTCTAAGCATGCGCTCTACTAAACAGCGCCCTCATTCATGGCGTCCAGTGAATACCCCCTATCGGTTACCACTTCGTAATTTGAGAGGGCGGATGGGAAAATTTGGTTCGGAAGTGGTTGACAAAAATGGGTCCCAACCGTGCGATCCCAGCCGCTTTGCGGTTGAAAATCTAAGGATCTGTTTCCAGTGTGAACAGGCCATCAGCAAGAAAATCTATCGCATAAAATTGTTGCAAAATATTGAGAAATTCTCTAGTTTAGCCTCAGTAGAACACATGGGGGGTGCGGCCATCTACTCTTTGCGCTGAAACCTGCCCTTTTCCTTAAAGGGGTACTCCGGCGATTTTTTTCACGGTAACTGATTTACCTCAAAATTGGCTCAACACATTGATAGACACGGCTGTACCAGTTCCCCAAGTTATGCATAAAAAAAAACATTTCGCGAGGTTATTGAATTTTCTAATTTTGTTTTCGTTGTGTTTCTCGAACCAGGAGCCCCTACTGGCAACATTGAAGTGTGACGAGAGAAATGGTACAAAGTGGGCAGCAAGCCATGATCCCAACTAATTACAAGGTGTTTGATGGTGGGAAAAGAACGGTTAGTAGCTGATTCACTCAGAAGCATGCAAAAAGCATTCGACACACCCGCATGACCTGAAAGTCTGTACCATTTGTGACATCACACCACTGGAGAGCATGCGGAAATTTGAACGTTGGTTTCGCAATCATTTTCATTTACGGTTTTCTGATATCTTGAATTTCGAGAAAATAAATAGCATACTGTGAAGAATACAGTCTGGGTAGTCAGAAAACGCAATTTGTTTGGGTAGCTCAAAAAATGGCCAAAATACCCCTAAAAAAAAAAAAGAAAACCCAGTTATATAAAGAAAAAAACATTTCTTTTTTTTTTATACTGTCTGGCTGGGACACGCGTGTCAAAAAATTAATTTTACGCAAAAATTTTATTTTTTTATTTTTAGGGCATTAGTTGGTAGTCACTTCCTTTCCACTTGTTTTCTCTCTCGGCATTTCGGGTGCGTGGAGGAGAGGTGGATTGGCTTCGCCTTCACGTTGAAGTGGAAAGAGTGTATTACCCTCTCACTGAGATGGAAAGAGTGTATGACTATACCGTGACATCATGAACTTTGCATGCAGAATTTGAAATAAATCTAGCGCAATCAATATTGCTTTACAATTTTTTATTTTTTTTTTGTTGCATAAGTCTAATTTTTTTTTTTTTTTTTGACAGAAAAGTTTGTTTTTTACATTAAGAACTCCATTTAAGTACAGAAATTATTAGTTCAAAAGCATCCACAATAAAGGATCACTGTGGCAATGCAATGAAATGATAGATTTCTTAAAATGAAAGTTGCAGGCACAGTCAATCAGGAGGCGAAAGAATCCAAGCAAGCTGGAAAACTCTGCCTCTGTGCAAAAAGACATGGGCCGAAAGTTCATTACCAGGGCATTCGGCGAGATGTCGAGCCGAAAGTATGATACGTGAAACCGCGCTAAAAACAGGGAGGGGGCCACTGGCAGCCTCTTATGCTGGCCCCTTGCTTCAGACTCACCGTCAGCTCCTGCACTATTTCGGTGTGCCGCTTCTGTTCTGCCTGCAGCTTGGTTCGGTGATTCCTCTCATCGGACGACATGTGCGCCTTCAGCTCTGCAATCTGCAAACACCCAGGAATCAACCATTTATGCATGATGACAACTTAAGTAGTTGACGCAAAGCCACACTGAACTGACAGAGCTCACCACCTCACTCTCTGCACGTCAGTATGCGCAGAAAGTGTGATTAGGTGGTACAAGACTGAAAATCGACTGGTCCAACGAGCAACGATTTCTGTCAGCTAAGCAGTGAATGAAATACAATAGGGGCCTCGGATAACCAGATATTTTCAAAGGGGAGGGGGGCTTTGTCCCATCTTTGCATGTAGTAGTAGTCGATGTACTGTAGAATTCACAGGTACGAACACGGCCGTCCCCAATCCCCGGCAGACTGGAACAATTCAGTAATCACTCAATATTTGTCTTCCTTTATTAAAAAAAGAAAACAATAAAAAGAGAAAGTGAGGATTTTGGGGGGCCTTGACCCCCCCAAACCACCCCCTGCATATGCCACCGACCCAACCCAAATGACAGCGTCTTCCACAGGCTGCTTCTACTGCTGCCACAGTTTGTGCGCTGCAAACATGCTTAGCACACAGCTGACCAACTCCTTACGAGCAAATAGCCTGATTTTCTCATTCCATCCTCTCGCTGAGCCACTCAATATTATCACTTAAAGGGACACGGACAGGGTATTTATGCACGGCAAGGTTTCTATTTGTACATAACATACAAGAGCCCAGCTACCCAGAAGACAATTTGTTTTCCTTCCGCCCGATAACCGCCGATCGAGAACTGGCCAGTTTGAGTCGTGTCCATTCTTCTCCGTGGTTGCATGCCGTTTTGTATGGTTTTAGACACAACCACCAAAGATAGTCAAAGTTTTGGGTCATTGAAGGCACACACTCAATGAGCATAAATGCCCCGTCGTGTCCCTTTAAACCTAAGGCCCAGTGAAGGCAGTACTACTACCGATATCGTAGCAAATGATTAGTATGGCATTTGGGGGCACAATTAATTTTCAAAATTACCCAAGGCGCAATGCTCAATAAGGAGTGTACACCACTAGATAATATTGGATAATATAATTTTTTAGGCACTGAAAATAAAGTCATTACATTACATTATCACGAATGACACTTCAGGAGGCGACGAATAACTGCGGAAACTAAATGTTTAAGGGATGCAAACATGTGCCCAAAACAAGATAGAAAAAAGGCTAGCGTCGCAGGCGTCAATGGCGGTGTAACTGCAGGATCCAGCGCTGGGGTGAGACTGACTGTAGCTCGCCCCACGGAACCCCTCATGTACACGCGCGGGCTGTACACACGAGTCTTATCAGAGTTCGTTCAGTACAACCGGTCAGTACAACGTTCGGTACAATGGGTCAATGTACTTCTGGGTGACGACAAAAGCACCGTTCCGGTTTCCAGTTTTGGGCCATGCTGTTGTGCTTCTTTGATAGAGGAGGGCTTGTGTTCTTTAGAACAGTAAAAGATATGAGCCCGTAGGTTTCGTAGGGGAGCTACAAAAGCTGAAGCGTTTATGCTTCCCAATGAGTACATCCAGGAGTTTGGCTATAACTAAGTACTGACGTTTATTGAAGCAACACTTGTTTGCAAGATTTGTCGTGGGGCAGTTAGTACTGCCAATCGCAAGGGCACCAATGCCAAATGCAGCTGCAGAACTATCCTTTGATACCTGTGAGTTTTTCTTCGATACATTTAAAGGGGTTATGACGCGCTAAAATAAAATATGAGATAACAATACTGCTAGGACCCATTGTATGTCCCTATGATCCTGCTAAATTTATTTTGAAAAAAGCATGATAGTTGATAGTTTCGTGGATAAATGATTTATATGCATGTCCCTTGGAAGGGCGGATACAGGCGGAGCGAGAGGCTATTGACATAGCCAGCCTTCCACTCGGAGTCTCCTTGCACGCCACTCACAGACATGGCTCCCTTGGCGTCTCAAGCTTCAGCTTCCTCGTTTACCTTCCGCGTTTCAAGCATGCGGACCGTGACAATTACGTCTACGGCATCACTCGCCCTGTCAAAGCGTTCAACATTGATCACAGCAGCGATGAGAGTGATTTCTATCAAGGGATATTAAGAGCTGTTCATTTCGACTGCAACCCGCTGGCGACCAGCTCCAACAACGGCGAGCTACGGACGAATTTGCCGTGGTCACCGTCGTCCGGGAATATCTCGCAGGCGCATGCAGGGTGAAAGGTCACCGGGCCAGGGGCGAGAGCGAGAATAGCGTTCGGGTTACCGAGTTGCGTGAGAGGTTGGGGGCGCCTAGAATGAGGGAGCGTCCACAATCACGCGGTTTATGGATACCATGGTGTCACCAACTTGGGCAGTGTTGCCTGGTCGCCAGATGAAAATGAGAAAAATTCGTAAATTGATTATTGCAATTAACAGAGCTCTAAAAATTGTGTAACTTCGTGTATATACTAAGCAGCCTATGAGCGTTCCATTTCAAGAATAATCTACCCGTTTAATTTTCGTGTCATAACCCCTTTAAGGGGGCCTGCAATCATTTAAGCGTCTACTTTTTTTGCGGTTTCCACGTCTCTTGGGCTTCAGGCAAGCCAGCGGGCACAGAGAGAATAACTAAGTATCAGTGCGTCATAATTTAACCGGACGACGCGGAAACCTCCTCCACCGACGAGGGCGACCCGCGGTACTGAAAGCGCGCAAAATGCGACGTCTTTGGTCCTGGGCTTACTACTGGTCAGAGCCACTAAATGCTTCTTTTTAATCGAAATACAAAATATAAGTGGTGCAAACCGTTTCAATTATTTATAAAAGTAGTTTTTGTTCAGTATTTTAAATCAGAAAGAAACAAATGCAGTTTATAAAGTACGGAAACAAGAAATGACCCGTCGACATACCCGCCACCAAGCGGTGGAAAAGGCGGCGCACACTAGAAAGGAGTAGTGGGATCAGGCGCCGGCACAGAAAGGTCCCGGATGTACGTGGCAGCGTTGCGGTCGTATGGACAGGAAGATCCGACCGGCTCCGAGCGTTCCACAGGCCTTTAGCGAGAAGCTTTGTCTTGCGGTTTGGCCGTTTCGCAGTATGGCAGCGCGAAGTGGCTCCCATTCTGAACTGATCTTTACCTTGTGTTTGCTGTCGTATGTGGCCAATGAAGTGCCATGCTGAATTAGTGTTTAATCGCGCAGCAAAAAATGCAATGAGAGCCGCTCTTGGTGCCTGCTGCATACAGCCGATCCAGAGTATGCTTTAGTGGCGCCCTCGACACGGAGTGCGGCAGCCGTGAGTGCTCGCTCAGCTTACTACCCCTCCTCTAGTTCACGGCCACTCAAGCAACCAAGGACGTCATGAGGGAAGTTATTTTTTGCTTGTTTTTGTAATTTTAATTTACCTATAACTTTTAAAATAAAGCAAATTTCGAGAAACGAAAAGTTTCACTAAGTTACTACGTTCAGTGTGCTCAGGCTCGGTGGAAATTAAAAACCAGTAAAAAAGTCCTTGTAGGGCTCTATTAAGAGATGTTTCTAACCAAACAATTACTTTTATTTTGAATTTTGAAAAAGTGACACACACTAAAACTCCGAATTTTACATGAAATTAACTCCGAAAACAGGGAGTCCTATTTATAAGACATTTCTTTGTATCAGTCTTATAGCCGCCATTACTTCACAAAGATAAATGACCGGATGACGTCTCGAAAGACGATAGCGAGTTTTCACATAACGATTTTTCTTTTTTAGAGGCTGGTGAGCTCCTTTAGTCAACCTCAAGAGTTGTGTATAATACTAAGAAAGCCAAGGACGCGAGCGCTTGTTCCTTGAAAGAGCTGAACTTTACCGAGACAAAATTTGGGGAATGTAGTTTGGTGTCGGGAGTTGTACTTTTCTTGGAAAGTACCAGAAAAAAATACTTTAAGTAAAGTACACTGCTTCTAAACCCACTTCAAGTAGTACTTTAAGTACAATGTACATGAAGTACTTCCCAACACTGCCGTCTGTACACACTCGCATTGTCCATAGGTGCACACTTCACAAATAAAAATGAGTTCCCAAAAAAGAAAGGAACAAAGTCAAAATTTGGGGGTTTTTACGTGCCAAACAATTGACGGGCATCTGGCATGCCCCAGCGGAGGACTGAGGATTAATTTGGACCACCTGGGAATCTTTTTGACGTGCAACCGAAAGCTCGGTTACACGGCGCCACCGCAATAAGCCTCCGTCAGATTGCGGGCACCTCGGCCGGGATTCGAACCCGCCACATGGGGATCCGTAGGCCAGCGCTCTCGCTTTGGAGCCACCGAGGCGGCTTAAAGGAACAAAGGCTATGCCTTCAATTACTTTTCGCCAGCATACTACTTCCACTCAAATTCCACTTCAGGATCATCTTGAGCGGCCAAGTAACAAAAAGGAGGAGTTTGCTCGCAGGTTCGCTGCTCGAGTGAGTACCTGCTTGTCCTTGGCTAAGAGTTGCTGGTCTTTTAGGTTTAGTTGTTTCTGCAGTGAGGACACCTGCTCCTTGAGCTGAGTCAGGGCCACCACATGGTCGCTGCTGTTGGGGTCCATCAGGCCACTGTTCTCGGGGGCACTCCTGGGAGGACGAGAGAGCAGCAAGTGAGCTCAGGGCTCGGGGCCCGTGTTCCCTTTGTGTTCTTTGCACGCAGATGTCAGTGCCATCTCAAACGGGCCACTAGTACCCTGTTGCTTCGTAGGAGAATAAGTATAGCTGAATGTCACACTAGGCAGCACTTCTGGCTACAGAAAACAGATTCTGTTGTCCTTATACACCCTGTTCCTATCTATCTTCTGAGTGCACCTCATAGGAGAGATTCTAAAACAATTCTTAGGCATAAAAATAAAAAAAAAAAAAATAAATACAAGTTGCAAAGATCCGCAATTTATTACCGTAAAATACTGGGCAAGCGCCCACTCAAACTTTGGAGATAATCGCAAAAAAAAAAAAAAAAAAAAAAAAGAGGGATGGGCACTGGCCCGGTCATCAATTTTACATAAATGTACTGTGCACATTTTCTCAGATCTTAGAAATTTGGTAATAAGCGCTTATATGGAATGGGCGGATGCGCAGTATTCCATGGTATATTGAGAGATTAGGCACTTGTAAAAATTAAGTCATGTCAAGTACTGTAACTTTTTTTCAAATTCTTCCAGACCTTATTGCATATGGACCCAGTTTCTTCTTGGCCCCGATACAAAACAAAGGTAAAAATCCCCGAGAAAAGCTCTGCACACCCTTTCCTGTCAGGCTCACTTTGTTAGTGAGAGAACAAGCAATGCAGTTGCAACAGCTGACACAAAGTACAAAGGCTGCTAAAGCTGGTAGAAAGAATGCAAAAAGGAACCTCCCAGAAGTCTCAGATCAGCAGCCAATGTTTCACTACTGGCAGTCTGGTGTGCCCAGGAGGTGCCCTTTCCAGTTCAGCTTAAAAAAATGGTTACATACCTAAGGGGAACACTGCCATTGGCTAGCTTAGCAGGGTCCAGCCGTGGCCGCTTGCTACTGCTGTGTTCGGTATTCAACCTGCAACATTGAGGAATCGTACCAGCAACATTGTTTAAGATCAATACAAAACACCGCACTTCTAAAGAAAGAGAAAACATTTTCATATCCGTTATACCCAATCTTGGATATGTTACCTTTAAAAAGTAATTAGTTACAGTTACATAGCTCGTCGAAAATGTGTTTAGGTTAAAGTTACAGTCACTTCAAATAAAAGTAATATGTTACAGCTGCAGTTACTTGTTCATAGAAACTTAGTAACTTTTAAGATACTTTCGATTTTTTGAGTTTAACTATGTTGATGACCCATATAAGGCCACACCGGACTATGATTTATATTTATTTAGAACCATCAGAAAACTTGCATTTCACTTTTTGAGATATACATACCACCACATGACTTTGTTGGATCTAAACTCTTGCTGCTTTGATAAAAGATGGACTAAATAAAATATTATTTAGTTCATGTAACACAGCAGCAACTGCTTTTCAAAGTTATCACGACTTAACGTTCCCCTTTTGATGCACATCCCTTTCCTTGCTCAAGAGGCACTCAACGGGTGCGCTAAACAGCAAAGCAGTATTCGGGTGTGAAATTTTTTCTTAATGGTGGGTAGTCGTTGAGGCTGAGGAGCGCTGTCGAGGTTTCAGCCTTTCATCGTTCCGCCTCCATGCCTAGCAGTAGTGCCAGAAATTAAAGTCGAAGCTCCCCCCAAGGTGCTTGCGAAGGTTGGAGAAATAAGACCTACAGGCTGCATATCCTTCTTTGCAGCGTTTGCAGCAAGCAATGAAGTTATCATTACTATATTCAACACAATCAAAATGTAGTTCATAGCCGGAACAAATAACACCTGCCGTTCGTCACTAATGACAGCCTCTCGTTTGAGCGATAAGGGTTATTTACCATGCAACTATTTTCCTTCTTTCTTTCTGACGTTCTCTCCCCATTCCACTTTCTGTTAAGAGCTCTTATTCCCCTTTTTCAGCTGACCAGAAAAGGAAATACTGATGAACAGATGGATCCATTAGCAAAGAAAGCTATCACCGCAACTGCTGCGGCACCGCGATAGAGGCTCTCTCGCTTGGCTGAGGAGGTGGGGATGCTCAATAATGTCGGAAAGGTGAGGATCGGGTGAGAGAGCCATGCACAAAAAGGTTGAAATAAAGCACATGCTAAATGTGCTTTTCCATGCGATGAAAAAGGAAAGTAGAAAAATGTCAGCCCTTTGCTGCGACGAAAAAAAGTTTTGAGTTCTTGTTTTATTTTGACGCATCTAATGTGGGGCCCAACCTTCGCACACGGTCGAACCTGCTGTAGCATTTACAAAATAGGGTAATTTTTTCTATATCTTTGCAGATACGTTTTAGCCACTCTTTGAAAAAGCTATTTAAAGGAGCTGTGCAATGATTTTAACAATGAAAGAATTCACATCTTTTACTTTTGACATTGTTAATCTTGTCACAAAAGACAGAAAACACATCTTCCTTCGAAATGTTGCAAATCCACCGCATAATCGCGAGGCGAAAATTGGAGTACTTCCCGACCTACAGCCGCGAGCGGCGGCCATGAGAAGCATGCGGCATGACGTAAAAAAGTAGGAAGTTGTGCGAATACCTCCTCGATAAAAGGTAATTTTTCTATAAATCTTGTCGTTCCAACATAAATATAAAAGCGTCAAAAACCTATTATTATTGCCAAAACTTTCATTATATGGAGTTTAGTGGCGCCATCTATCGGAGTTTAACAAAACCGTCAGCTCTATCTGCTACCGCGAACAGTTGCCAGAAGCCAGAGGAGGACAGGGCTACTGGCGGCTGTTCGCCAGAAGCCGGGCGGGGATGGCCGGACCCGGACGAGACTTTCTTCCTCACATGGTCACGTGGTCGTGAGGGGGCGAGTTCTCGCTGCTCACTGATGGCTCTAGAGAGAGAGCTTCACTGGAACCCCACGCGTCCCCTATTGATATCACAGCGCACGTGACTTGGAAGATGGTGAAGGAGTTGAGAGGTGCCGAAAGCCTCAATCTTTGTCCATTTTTAGAATAAAAATTAAGTCATGCAGGCAAAAGTGGCTTTTTGTTCTTTACTTCAGAAAGGTCGAGACACCAACTCCCAAATTATTTAAGTAAAGCACCGATATTGTTGCACAGCTTCTTTAAGTTATATTGTCACAGTTACTTAAAAAAATGTATCTAGTTACACTTAAAACTATAAAAAAAAAAGTAACAAGTTACAGTATCGTGACACAATCATTGCGATACTACCCAAGACTGGTTATTTGTGTTTGTCCTTTGTCCCCCTGTTCCCCTTCTCCAAGGATTATTGTCGACTGGAGTATACCTTTCGTCAAATTCAGAGGGTGTTTTTCGAAGTTTATTTTTTGCCGAAATTTTGGATCTTATCGGAGTTTATTTTTGTTTGATTCCCAATTCTCCCAAATTCTGAGCAATTTCCAAGTGTTTCCTTTTAAAAATAAATAAATAAATATCCAAGTGTAAACATATGCTTGACAAAGAAACAAAAAAAAAAATGCCCTTGTATTTTATTTCCATTTTTTTGCTGGATTTGGCATTGGTGCCATTGCCATTGGCAATACTGATTTGTCCCACGACAAAAGTGGCACACAAGTGTTGCTTCAATAAAAGTCCATACTTCAAAATTAATAAACTCCAGGAAGTAGTTACTGGGAAGCTTCTTTATCAGATCCTCCTCCATCAACTACCTCCGTGTCTGCATGAGGTGGATGGAGTGCTGAAGGATGTTATAGAGAAGTTTCAACTGCCCCTCTTCCCCATTTTATGCAATATCTATGGTCCATAGCTTTTACTGTTACAAAAACAACCTCTCCTTCCTCTAAAACACAAATAGCATGGCACAAAATGGAAACCAAAAACAGTGCCTTTTGTCATGACCTGAAAGTAAATGGCCTGTTGTCCTGAATAAACGTTGACAGGTAGACAAAGAATTGGAGCAAATATTGAGTCATTTGCAATATCTGAAGCCAAAACCATAAAACACCAAACATGACAATTTATGTTGGGGGTCACAGTTTAGACAGCACATTTACGTCACAACATTTCGTAACCTTTGTCACTGCCACAGTCACTGACAAGGGGCCTGTCCCGCCTCTAGCGCAAGCTTCTGACCTTCAACAACATTTCAACGTCTTGTGCACCTTGAGCGTGTGTGTGCAGCCAAAGCACAGTGGAATTCATTCAACCTGCGCAGGAGGCCTGGCATTCAAAAGGCACACCCTGCAGTCCTCATTCTGTCAGTGACCATAGGTGTGTTACATATACTGCAACAATTGCACAAATGTGCAATGGGACGCCACTTTTTAAATTAAAAGGTACACGCATACTAGAGTATAGTCGTAGCACGTCTGGTGCTTTTGCTGCATCACCTCTCTTACATTCCAGAGCACTGCCCTAGAACGTCTCCCCCCCCCAGAGACCCATACAGAAAGAGTTTGGCCATTCATTGGTGAGTATTGGAGGCAAATGAGGAGGCTGAAAATAAGGTGCATGTGATGTTTCGATCACAGCCATGCGAAATCATGGTGGAAGATATATAAAGGCATAGAAAATACAAGAAGCGTGTGCGACTAGCAGAACGATTGACGTAATCCGTACGCCGAGCACCGAGGACCGGGAATCTGCCGTCCGAGCGGCCACACTCCGTCCGAGCAAAAGAGAGTTGAGCGGCACATTCGTTTCTTACATCTTTCTGCATGATCATGATCAAAACATCACATACCATTTTCAACTGTGATGGGTTATTACATTTAACTCTTAAACACTTATTAAAACCATGTACCTATAATTAAAACGTTTTCTCACTACCATCGCTAGGGGATTATTTTTGGCTTCTGGTTGGCCAAGAGAGCATGTTCCCTCTTTCTGAGACTGGTGCATGCCCTGGCTCTGCCTGCTCCTCTCAGTGATTTCTCTATATATGGCTCTGCCCCAACCGGGGTAGCTCCCATTCGAGGGCTTTCGTCGTCGACACTTAACGGAGATCAAAGAGCCCCAGGCGACACCAAACAACTCACTTGTGGTTGGTGAGTGAAGAGGTGGTCGAGTGCTTGCTGCCACTGCGATGGTGGTGGTGGTTCTGGCCCCCCGTGCTTGCCGCGCCGACCGAGGCGACAGAGCCCGAGGAGGACCGGTGGTGGTGATGGTGGTGGTGTGCCGCCGAGGCAGAGCCCCCCTTGCTGAGTGCAGAGTGCCGCATTGGGTCATTCTGCTTTGCCTTGGCCAGGGCACGCTTGTAGGACAGGGTGCACAGCCAGCACAGCAGCTTGCCGTCCACCTGGGCAAAGGAAGCGAGCACCCTCAACATCCACGTGTCACACGGGTTCGACTAGGCGAGGCAGGGTCTCTCGGCATAAGTGGACAGAGGTCAAAAGTGTTCTTTAATTGTTTCCGTTCGAGACCTCTCAAACACACCTGTCGACACTTTGTAGGGTTTCTTTTCGCACAACGGAGTTGTTCTCTGCAGATGGAAATTAAATATTAGAGAGTTTTGGGGTCGCGTGCAGCATGTCGCGGACGTCCCGACTATTCTCCCAACCCACGAAGACTCTGCGACTGGATCGGAATATACGTCGTCCCGTCGGAGTGACCGGTCCTCCTCCTTGCGGGGAAAGATTAATGTCAGCAGCATTGAGCTGTAAAGTACCCTTATTTATTTTTTTTTTTTTTACAGCGATAGCTGTTAAGAGTTCTGTCCACCACTGGAAATGACATCCATTGTTGATGCTGTTGTAGTCGTCGTCGTCGCTGACGTTGTAGTTGGCGACACAGGGCATCCGTCGTCAACACTGTCGAATGCTTAAAAAAAATTTACCGCTGCCTGATGAAACTGAAGTCGGGTTCGTTAAGTTTAAAGCAGGTGCGCTAGCACCAAGCCACGCCACAATGTTAATAGGCCGCTCTAAACTATGTTTTTTTATAGTACCCAATGCCCACTGCCCGCACTCTAAAGAAAAAAAAACGTATCACATAAAACATAGTTGTAGCACCGTCAATGCCGAGAGCTCGTACCGGGAGACGCGCTTTCACACGCTCCGGATTAAAAAAAAAAAAAAAAAAAAAACAACAAGAATGTTCGAAACGAAGTAAAAGAAAACAAAAGCGTTTGGAAGAAACAATGTCTATTTGTTCCGCAAATGCTCTTGTTCACGCACCCCACTGCCCTCGGTGCTTGAACGAGACGCCAATGCCGAATTCGACTTCGCCGTGACTCGTCGCAGCGACTGTACTGTGGGTTAACACTGGAGTGCTTAATTCTTTTTCTTCCCTGCCTCTCGTTTAATGAGCAGCCCAAGGTTACAAACACATTCCCCAAGCGAAAGACACCACTGAATCAACTACATACGACTCCATCGTGTGAATGCTCGCTCGAATTTTTCGGACAGCCTCCTCCTACTCACGGCCTTTCCTCCTTGGAGCTCTACGATGTATCCAGTTTTCCCCATACATGAAGATCTGCCGTGCGAATACACCATAAAGTAATTTTAGAGCGCAGCTCATAGGCGCTCGTTTCCGGCTTGAGTGGCGTCGCCGTAACCGCAGCTTGCATTACGGGACGTTTCCCATGATGACGTCACACGTGACGTGTGACCAGACGTGACATCACGCGTGACATCACGTGTGACGTCACGAGGGTCACTCGTGACATCACTGCACGTTGCATTATGGGTAAATTTCCCTGCTAAAATATTTCCCCGCTAAATTTAGAGAAAATATTTTAGCAGGAAATTTAGTGAAAACTTCTCGCTAAAGGGGAGGGGTGCAGAAGAGGAGGAGGGGAGGGTACGGATGAGGAGAAGAGGCATACCCTCCTCTCTGTACCGTCCCCTCGTCCTCCTCAAGAGCTACGCTCTAATTCGGCGTTACAGGGGATCACAAAAGTCTCATTTTTTTCTAAAAAAAACCTAAATAGGACATGCACATTAAAAAAAATGTAAAAAAAAAATGATCGCATCTCTACTTGGTGAATGATGTTGATTGGGGAGAAGCTCTGGTGGTGCTGATGATACTGATTTTATTGTTCATAGGTAGTGCTGATAATGCTGATTTTTGTTTATTGCTCATAGGTAGAGCCGAGTTCCGGGTTACGTTTCGACTTCATTATTACAGCTTTATGGTCGGTGAAATGCAGAGCCAGTGGTTCTTCTAGCGGATCAGCTTGGATTCGCTAGAAGCCGTGAGAATGCATCTCCACCGCTTAAGTCAACGGTCCATGTCAGAAAGAGAATGTGTGGTGTGGAACGTGGTTATATACGCATTTAAGCATTTGACTGCAGTGCCCTCTCGTCTATAAACGTTGAGCCAATGCATACAAAGTTTAACGCGATTATATATGCTTTGACCACAGCACCCTCTCTTGTATAGACGTTGAGCAGCTACATGCAACGTTTCATCCATGACATCCCCAGCTCTTGAGTTACTACCACATCTCAGCCCCCTACTCGTACTGCAGTCATGGCCGAGTGGTTAAGGCGATGGACTAAAAATCCATTGGGGTCTCCCCGCACAGGTTCGAATACTGTTGACTGCACAAGCATTTTTTCTTTTTATGTGAGCACGGACGGACGGACGGACAGACAGACAAGGCTAGACCCTAAGGAGCTTCGCCCCTAGTTAATGCAATATTTACTTAGACGCAATTTAGGTGCAGGAGGTGGAGGTCACAGCCTGCTAAGCCCTGCCCCGTACTTAGGCCGTGCTTACATCTCCCACTGGTTGGAGAAACGATTAAAGGCCGACGTACGCTTTGCGCTTTCCACTTTCGACCACATCTTCCTTTCCCATATCCTCTCCGTTCTTTACCTTGCTTGAACTTGCTCCCCTCGCAGCTTAGGAGAGGGGAGCACTTAGAGGATTATCTTCCCAGCAGAAAGCCAAGGTTGTACGTCGGCCTTTAACGTGTGAAAGTTTGGTTGTAAAGTTGTATCTCCTGCTGTAATAGTATTTTAATCAACAATTTTTTTTTTTATGTGTGAGAAACAAATAATTGAGATAGTGTCATTACTGTTTTCAGAAGTATTCAGAGAGTGCTTTTCCCGCTTTCGTACGATAAAAACTAAAGTGGCTGCCGGCGTTTGCGGAGTGGTCGACGAGCGTAGCGCGATGAGCTTGTCTACTTTTATGAGTGAGAATCTTTTTGAGTTTACGCAAGTGTTTAGAGGAAGGTCTCCTCAACTGACTGTAGTTTGCAGCAAACAACTGTCCCAATTATGCGCCTTTGGAAGCGCTGTGGCAGGATGCTTGTTTTCATAGGGGGGACTGGCCTAAGCCCATAGCGTCCCCAAATCAACTATTTTGCTTGGTTGGACTTCATTCCTTCGTTTGCATGTGTTGATGCTGAATAAAGATGGTTCCAGTAAAGGCAGCCATGCTGCTCTGTGAATTGTGCAAAGTCCTGATTGCGATCACGGTTCCAATATTGAGAAGATACCTAGACAGGTGAGAATTCGCAAGCCATCTGGCTGGAGGCAATCGGGCATTCGTCTCGCATTAGATTTTTCAAGGTGTCGGAAGGCACTTAACTCTCCTACTTTGAACAGTGCACCTGGCTTGATAAAGCAAATATTTTTAGTCGCATTTCAATTGTTCGTCATGACGCTCGCCCACCTTGCCTGTGGATGCTATGCAAGAAAACAAAGAATAACAGAAAATACTGAAAGGACTGCATATTTATTTTGTTGATTTTTTTAGTCCTCTCAGTCGCTTTTTACCAGATATTGACAGACACTTGTATTGGACCGTGTGGCTCATGCATGATGGAATGCTAGCATGCCGCTTTCATGGTCGTGTCTTATGAGCGTTGCACAAGCTTTTAGACGGGGACGAAATAGTACACAGACTAGGTAAAAACAGACGCTGACGGGCAGCTTTCATGTCCTGCAGACGTACAAATGCTGCGGACAACGATAAACAGTGCTAAAACAGCAGGCAATGCCAGAAGCATGTCTGCTTGCACGACAAGGAGACTGCGTCAGATGCCAGACTAGACGCACCGGATGTCACGAAAGGGAGACACTAGGCTTGTTAGCGTGTTCGGCTGAGCATCCAAGCCAATCCAGTAGTAATGCGCGGGGGTTAGGGCGGGCCGTGACCTCCCCCTAATTTGCATCTAACAACTTAAATATTGCGTAAAAAAAAATTTCCATTTCATAGACAAATTACTAAAAAAAAAAAAGTGTCCCATTGTGCCCTTTAAGAATTCATTTTTTTGTGTGTGTTTTTTAAAAGGATACTGTATCAAAATTTTGAGCTCACAAAAAAAGGCTGGACTGATGGGCGGGACGCTGCAAAACCCAAAAACATCTATTATACAGTGATACCTAACGGATCGTCATATTTTTGGAAAAGAAGTGCACGATTGAACACGGGCGACGAGACAAGTCACGTCACGATTCTCATTCCCTCCCCTCCTCGCTACGTCCCTTCGAGCTAGTAAACCGAAGAAGAGGAGACGAGAAGCGAGGCCGCTTTCCCTCATTCTCAAATTTTCCAGGGGGACAATGACGTCATAGCACTCGCTTGATCGCACCCTTCTTTTCCAAAAGTATGGCCATCCGTTTGAAATGTCGATGTATGAGTGATGTTATGGAGTTCGTAGCATCCCGTTCAATGCTTCTGCGGCCTTAGTTTGCGAAATACATATTTCAGTTCAGTATTCCTTTAAGAAACGCCTTGATGGGGATCGCCCGTGGCAACGCAGAGCTGGAAGTAACCCGAGAAGTGACCATAAAAAGCACACATCACAGTCATATCTGATTTTCAAAAAAATTCGCCTTGCTTAATAAAATGTTTGAATACACAATGATGCACACCCATACAAAATATTTAAAAAATCATGATACACAAAGCAAAAATCACGCAATACGAAAAGGAATATGAACTACAGAAGCAATCCGTTACGCCTAAAAACTCTGTTCCAAAATGAATCTCAACACACTGCAGACACTTACGTGCAACTCTCGACCTTATCTGGAAGCAGAAACCGGAAGAATGTTTTGCAGCATTGTACTGCAACAAGCTCTCTCTCACTTAGTTTCCCCAAATCAAGAGTGGACCAGCCAGTTTTGTGCTATTTTTGGAGCAGAAAAAATCTGTTTGGAGCACTTTTGCATTAAGAAGATTAACATTTTGGACCAGCTCTGAAGGAGCACATACATAAGTGTGGAGCAATTCAGTCGAGTTTCCTATTAGTGACACTGACATGCACTCATGTAATAACTACTGTGTGAAGCCCATTAAATAACCAAAGTTAGCAGTTGTACTATTCCAGCCAAATTGCCATTTTACAGCTGTGAAACTGTGCCACAATCTTAGTCAAATTTGTATTTTGTTTCCATTAGTGCTAGTGAACAAAGGTTAGCATATTATCACCATGGAGTAGTTGTAAAGTACTAATTTAACCCCCTGAGTAATAAAGAGAGGTAAATTATGATTCTACAGAGCTTCAAGTCACACAAAAATCAGCATTTTCTGGACCTGATAACTCCTAAAGAAAACATGCTTTGAGACAAACATATTATTATGATAGCTCTAAATGACAACCTCTGACTGTGTAAACATTAAACTCTGATTTGCTTTGTTTCTCCTTGATTGTGATCAAACTAACCAATTAATCAACATGTAACTGCTCGAAAATACAAATTAGTACACAACAGCTTAATAAAAAAAATACAGTGGACTCCCATTAAATGAAACTCTTAAATGAAAAATACGCAAACGACACCCCTGGTTGGTCTCTTATGTATTTAATGATAAAAATGTTTGGCTAATCGGAGCACTTTTTTTTTCTTACATCGGTTAAACGAAACTAAACTGAACGAAAACTATAAACGTTGGAAATAGCTGTGGCAGTCTGAGAACTATAAAAAAGAGCAGTAAGTAGCCAAGCCACCAGAGCCTAGCCAAGCCAATCCAACGATAGCCCATGTTCTTGCCTAAACAACGTTGTCATATCTAGCTAATCGAAGATCTGCAATGGAAACTACCAAGAAACGACAGCACAACGCACTTTAGCTCGCAACGAAAGTCAAGATAATTCAAGAACTTGATCGCAACCAACTCACAAAGACTGAAATCACCAAGAAATTTGGGATCCCCAAGTCCACGCTGTCAAGGATATTGAAGAACAAAGGAAAGATTGAAGACGCCGTCGAGCTTGGGAGCTTCACGACAGAGCGTATGCAGATGCGGACGACGGCGCACAGTGAAATTGAGGATGTGCTTCTACTCTGGTTGAAGCGTGCACGCAGTGCCAAGTTGCCGATTAACGGACCCCTCTCGGAGGAAAAGGCCCGAGAGATGTCCTCTCAAATGGGGATCGAGAACTTCAGGGTAAGCGATGGTTGGCCGAGTTGTTTCAAAAAGCAGCATGGTCTTGTCTTTAAGACTGTTTCCGGAAAAAGTGCAGCCACTTCTTTCACGCGAGGAAACTATGAAATGATGGATGCAAACATTGCAACATGCCGTGAGGAAAGACTTGAACTGATTGCTAAGTTCAAGATGAAGACCAGTCAAGTGATGATGACATGGGGTGTGATCCTGAGCCCATTTTAGTGCCGGACTGCGCAGCTAGAGATGCCGTCACACTGTGCCGTCACACGGTCGGCGAGCGTGTGCGCGTTGTCGGGTGCTCGGCGGCTCGGCGGTGTACTCGCTGGTGTGTGCCGATGTACCGCCTGCGCTCGTCGCGTATCCATTGCCGACATTCAGCTATTCCAAATATAAAAACGAAGTTTTTCTCTAGAGCGCGTCCCAACTTAATAAAGGCCAGTCTCTTAATCTGCCGATTTTTTGGACTGCTCTATTATTAAGAAATTTTTTTTCGTCCCCTGAAGTCTGAAAAATCTGTCAATGACAGTGCTAGCACTCGTTCATCTTTAGTAGCGCACCAAAATTCCACTAAAGAAGCATCCACACTTGAGAGTCGCAGCAGGTCGTGTTCCGGATTTTGTCACAAAAGCGATTATTTCGGAGAAGTTGCTTCAGGACCGATTTTTCAAACCAATTGCCAAATCGCTATCTGGCTGAGCCATTCAGCGGCGCCTCGGAAATGACATGTGGCACCTCGTGATTCTTCAAATGCGGCATTCCGGTAAGGGGGTATATTAACGTGTCCGCCTCGGAGCCTCAATTCGTGGTAACAGTTGTGGATACTGTCAGGACCGGTTATAACGAAGTCGTTTATGACGAAATAGTGGCTACAGCGAAACGATCACGATTTCCCACTTCCTTTTGCACTTCGTTAACCGAAGTCGGCTATAACGAAACAGCGGATATAGCGAAGTGATTTTAGGTTCCCGCTGACTTCGTTATAAGCGGTCTCTGCGGTGACTCTGATCACTGGTATTAAGCAATACCCATTTCTAACTTAACACCCAATTATGAACGAGTGCCCTAAAAAAGTCGGCCTGGCAGCAACTCTGTGCACCACTTTGCTTGACGGGGTACTGTACCATAAAAGCTAGAGCGAGCGCACAACAATATAGCGATTGTGCTTTCGTTCCGAAGGACCCAGACCAATATCAGCAGTTTCTCTTATGGCGAAAGTAACGCATGTGTAGCTGTGCGACAATGAAAATAGGAAAGCAAGGAAATGCAAACCCCAGCTGCAGTGTGGAAAGAAGAATGGAATCGATGGCGATTCCAGGGAGCATCCCAGAAGTGACTTGCCGGTAGCGACTCTCCTATTGCCCACAGTGTGGATGTCGGTAGAGTTCCTGTATAGGCTCCCAACTGGCGCGTTCACACTGGAAGCAGATCCGCAAACGCGAAGCGGATCCGCCCGTTTTCAACTGCAAAGAGGCTAGGATCGAGCGGTTGGAGCGCGTTTTTGCCAACCACTTCGGGACCGATTTCTCCCAACCGCTTTCACAAACCGCAAAGCGGCAACCAATCACAATGCGACGCTGACATGACGTCAGTGACTTTCAAAACAAGATGGCACCTGTCGCTGGTGAGGCGTCCAAGGCGCTGTAGTCCTAGCGTTACAGCAGACAAATCAACAAAGAAACGTGATGTTCATGTCCGTCACTTGAATCCGTCGCGAAAAGAATTGACTTGGAATTTTAACGGGCTTCGCACCAATGATTTGGTTGGGAAAGAGTTTGTTTATTACACCGAGTGCCACAGCCCGAAGCTCGCTGTCTTGTTAGTCTCTGCTCGTAGAACGTCGGAACCCGCCCCTGATCGACCGAAATGTCAGCTTTTCTAACCACTAAGATAGTCGCGTGAGCTATTGAAAGCTTTCGACACTGTGCATGACTACCACGAAGGGCGATAGAGACGTCGTAAGCCAGATTGCGCAGCCAACGCACTATCGCGGAGCGGGAAGGGTACCTGCGCTAGCTCGACCTGTAACGTTCACTACTAACAGAAGAAATAAAGAGAACCTACTCCAGGAATAAAGTGTACATACCAAACGATGCAGAGGTAATCCATACGGCGTTTATTTGAGCTTAATGTCAGACAAAAAGTACACTCGATCAACGTGCGAGTGACGAGAGGAGAGTCCGCCACCAACGAAGCCACGAACGGGCACCAAACACAATCCCCCGCAGCCCGCACCATAGTCCACCCCGCCTCTCACAACTTCGAAAATGATAAGAGCGAACGATGGGGGAAAACTGGCCCTCTATCCCGAAAACAAGGTCAGCTATTCATGCGGGAAGGGTCCACTTCGAAGAAAAGGTCGGGGGCATCCTGTTCTGCGTCAGCAGGGCTGGGCTTTGCTTGTGGGCGAGGTCAAGGGAATCACAGGCAAAGTTGGCGGGTCCATGCTTTTTTTTTCGCTGCCTGAACTTGTAATGCGTGCGAACATCCCAAAGAAAAATCTTCAGAGTGCCAAAATAGCAAAATGCTGGCATTGGATCGTCGATTAAAAGTGGATTTTGGATTGCAAAACAGGGTTGCCATACGCAAGTCTCATAAAGATCACGCATGATCGCCGAGAAACCGCCAACCGCCTCTCGGTGTGTCTGAACGGGGTCTCTCAAGAACCGCATCCGCAACTGCTTCGCGGAACGCGGATCCGCTTCCAGTGTGAATGCGCCATACGGGAGCCAGAGTTGCGCGTCTCTTTTCCACGTGCTGCCGCTGCTAGTCGCCGCATTCAGTCATGTGAGGAGCAGACTCTGAATGCCGTGCAGGAAAGCCGGCGCTACGGGGATGAACATGCAACTCTGGCTCCCGTAGGGAGCGTATACAGGAACTCTAAATATCAGTGGTCGCTTGTCACATGTCGCTAGTCAGCCGTGTAACCGCTGCAAGTCGCAAGTCTGAACGTGCCTTAAAAAGGTAAAATTGGTGGGAAACAATGCTGTGAAGCCGGAAACCTGGATTGGATTGCGATGTCTATACTCCACTGGGTTCCCATAGGCACCAGACAAAAACAAAAACTCTTCCAAAACCCAATCCATTCAGATGAACACCTGTGTGCAATTTAGCAAAATTTTCTATTTAGCCATAGCAAGGTGCAGGCGAGTGGGAATTTATTGAAATGGCACAACTGGCCCACCCCTGCCAAATGCATGCAAAACTATTGAACAGAAAATTCTGGAGATTCATGTAGCTTCTGCGAAGCAACAGCCTAAAAGGACGCAAAAGTGCTACAGCCTTTGTTTCTACCACTTCACTCACCTTACGACGGCTATCATCTTTGCGGTCAAAGGCGCAGCGTTGCTTGCACTGTTCGCAGTTCACGGGGGGTCCATAGCGTTTCTCGGAGTTGGTGCAGCGTTGGCACTTGCTGCCAATGAAGGCAGCAATAATGTTGCAATACTCGCACGCAGTGGGCTGTTGGCATGCAAAGAACAAGAGGGGGAAAACATAGGATGATTCTTCCCCATATCAATCAAAACCTGAAAGGGACTACATAAAGGAGGCGTCATACCTTTCCATAAGCTTTGACGTTCTGCTCACATTTTTTGCAGATTGTGTGTGTACTGCCTTTGCTGCTTTGAAGAAAGAAAACATACAGGCAATCAGAGTCGGGTCACTGGTTACTGAAGGCTCCGACAAAGAGGTGTGGCAACTTACTTTTCCTGCTGAAATTCTGTTCGGCAGTAGGTGCACTTCACAATTGGGAAGGCACCCCGGCAATCCTGCAAAAACATTAGTGACGGAGTCAAAAAGCTGGTATCCAAAAACAATGCCACATTGTGGCAGGCACTGCTCAGAGTGGGTTGTGGGTTCTGGTTATGTTTAAATGTGTGAAGGGACAGTACACTCATCACAGACTACTGTCGGGTCTGATTAAGCCCAACTAATGATCTCAGTAATTGTAATTAATAGGCATTAATGTTCTCAAATATGTACTTGGGCCCTGTCACAAGTGATTCAGCATCATGATTCCTAAATGAATATGAAAAAGCTTGCTTGAGCAATCTCCTGATGAGATTAACTAGGTTTCTTAGACCTGTAGACAGCTTACTTTTGCAGCTTTTCTACAGTTGGAGATCTGGTTTATATTGCCCACTATATGGGATATTTAAGCATTTATTTATTATAATTTGTGATAAAACAGTCAACTCTTACAGCAGTAGCTTTTATTTTATGCTTCCTTTAAAGTTTGTGAAAAAGTCTGCTCTGGCAAGCAGCTTCCATAGAATGGTGAATTTTATTCTGGTAAGCTTGAACCTATAGCAAACCAGCTCATATAGGCTATTCTTTTATACAAGACTCAAGCTTTGGCAAGATGACAACGCAAGACAGTTGGAAGGGCCAAGGAAACACACCTGAGCAGTCCCACAATGAGCAGTGCCTCCACAAACTTCAGCTCACACAACAAACTGCTATTGACTTTTAAGGAAGGAAAGGTCCACTGGACTGCCTGTGTGTTGCTCTTCTACCCTTTGACATATTTTTATCCATTACCTGTTACCATTTAAAACTTCACCCACTGCCACCTCCAGCTCAAGTAAATGAGCACAAAAAAACTAACTTTTTAGACATTATTTGGGGCAAAACTAATTTTAAATGGTATCTAAAGAGTCCACAAGGTCTGTCACCAGTGTTGGTGTCACCTGTTTCGTTTGTGCAGAAGCAACAGAAAAATACCAGTATGTGCATGATTGCACAACTGCATTACACTAATTAAATCCTGCAACTATGCAAAACCCCATTTCCACTCTACGGTCAATAAACAGCCCTGCTGCTTTACATCATCAATGTAGTGTACGACACAGAATAGTAACATAGCCTACACTCAAATCATCAATGGAAAGAGCATTCTACAGTAGTTACACCCCAACAACACACAGAGCAATCCAGTGGTCAACAGCCCAGAGGGCAAGGCATTCCTTACCTGAGCCAAGACACAACAATGAGCTCTGAAGTGTGGAGGCACTCTTCATGCTGGAACCTAGAAGCTGCAGGAAGAAAAAAAAAAAGATTCAAAGTGGACAGGCCACTTAGCAGTGAGGGGAAGCTAAACAAAAGTTGAGAACATTCAGTGTCTAGTTTTCAAACTTCAGTTCAAACCCACATGAAGCCAGATAACACAGAACAATGAAATCAACCAAAAATGTTCAATTTTCATAGTGCTTTCTAAAACTGAAAGTGCAAAGCTCAATTGTTTCAAAATTAATGGAATTGCTTGGTCATAAAGAAGTCCTATACTGCACTTTCACCTGTTTGCTCATAATAAAATCATGTACTGCACTTTCACATAGTTCACTAAACAGAAAAAAAAGCCCTACTATTTTATTTAATAACCTTGCTCTTGCATAGAACAGCTGCATTAGAAACCTGTCTTTATTCACACATTACTCCAAGAAAAAAAGTGTTAGTAAAAGGCACTGGAAGAAAAGATATTTCAAACAGATCTCAAAATTGCAAGTTGCACATGTCACTGAACCAAAAGCAGCTGTTATTGCTAGCCCTGAGAGCACCAGCTATATTAATGGCACTGTTCAAACTTTTCAAGATTACAAAGAAACTATGCTCAAAACAGATCAGTCCATAGATGCTGGAATAGTCATTCTCCCAAAACAATGATCCACCCAAAACTAACATCTTTCTCAATCATGAGCAAGAAACCAGCCATGAAATGAACAGAGTTCAGGCAACCCACTTTTAACAATCAATTACTTTCCATCAGTCAATAAAGATGACTAACACACATCACTGAAACAACACTTCAGTATGCGTTTGGATGGCACAGTTTGACTAGGATGCGCTACAACACGTCCCATAGCTGGTGACAGGTTAACCCCTTCGCTTCCAAAGCTCGCGATCTGCCGGCCACTGCGGCAATGGTCAAAGCGCACAAAGGCGGCGATTAGCCGGTCTCCATTGAAACATTTATTTTCAAAATACGCCGACAGAGGGCGACGTTATTACAGCACTTGTGTTTTGTTTTGTACATCTGACACCAGAGGGTACTTCACATTCTATATTTTTATGTACATTTAGAAGTGAAAAAAAAAGTTTGCAGCTGTTTTTTTGACAATGAGATGGTTGAAGTCTCTCCACTGGTGAAACCATTGATCTTGAGACGACGAAGATGGTGACTGATGATTCAGTTATCGTGATGAACATCACGATTACACAGCATGAGGAGCACAAGGTGTCCAAAACTGCAAGTGATTCCTCGGCGCCGCCTGCACCGCCAATTTCGAATGCTCCATGGCAATTCGCTTCTTTCCCAACATATGCCGATAAAAGATCTGTGTGGTGGATGTAGCTGTTTACAACAGTGATACACACTGTGGGAAAAAAATCGGCAGGATGGCGAACCACTTACGATGGCCAGAAATTAAACTCCTCAAATGGACCATGGAAAGGGCAGTCCTTCCTGGACATAGACTAGGCACAATTTTTTTCGGAAAAGTGCAGAAAACAGCGTGAGGCAATACTCGTAGAGGCAATACTTCATCAGCGAAGTTTGAGGCAAAAGTACCGAGCGCCGTTGGGGAGTGCAGAACCTGCTATCTAGATCCGCATGCTCCTGTAGTTTAAAAAGCTTTATTTCTGGAAGGCTCCTTAGGCACATTGCATTCACATACTATTCAAGGTCAATTTCAAACAAAACTTATCCTCCAATAACATATGCTTCAAAAATAATTAAGCTTTTTCCTTCGCTCCACGGTAGTATCAGTTCGACAGAAATGGGGCATGAAATACTGCGCAGTCAGATGCGACGACACGGGGAAAGCAAAGGAACTAAGAGTAAAGTGGAAGCTCCTCCCATATCTCTCCCCTTTGGCAGAGTGAATCCTGAAGAGGAGGTGACCTGCTTTCCAGCATTTGCTCTGCTAAAGTAAAAAAGGTGGGATGAGCTTCCACCCTACTCTTAACCTGCCACCGGCTACAGTCGAACACAAGTTGTAATGCAGTCAGTCATGTCCAAGCACAAACGTCAGGTTTTTCTGTACATTTTTCTCAGACTAGTGTAGCTTCCACCGATCCAACGCCGTCAACACGTAGCTCCATTTGGCATCTTGTTTGGGTGAACTACCGTGCGAGACAAAGTCACATGCTCCCGCAGTAGTGCAGTGCTAAAGGACCATAAAAGCTATGCTAGCCTTGACAAAATAGCACACAAGAGTCGACTCTTAGTGTGGCAAAAGCTACAAGAGTGAGCCTCACACTTTTAAGTTGCCTGCCATGAACGAGAATTTGTGCAGCATGTTAGTTTGCCTTGGACTTGTAGCTTTGGCTTTACTCCCGATAAAGAATGCATGCACGATGCAGGTGAGTGAAATGTAAGCAATTCTAATAAAAAAAAAGTTGCTCAGTTATTTCTTTTGCTAAAAGAAAGATTCCGTAAAGTTTCTTTTCTGAACCTGGCTCACTTCAAAGTCTGTCACAAGACACAAAATTCAAAGCAGGTTGAATTATGCTGCAAATTTTGTATGAAAGGTATCAGTGGAGGCCTTTTCCAAACAAAGTTTACTTTGAAATTCATTGAGAATGAAAGGTAGCATAGAAACTAACGGTAGGTGCTTTGTTGTCTGGTGTTACTTATTGCAATATTTAGAAATGTGTCGGGAACATCCATCAGCCTCCCCGTTGCCCTCCTGCCACGAAAGCAAACTTGATTTGAAAGCTTGCTCTTCAGTGCTTTCAATAGATGCACAGCATTTAGTGAAGAACCAGCTTGCCATTAAAGGAACACTAAACATAAAAAAAAAATCTTTTATATACCTAGTTAGGACAGGCATGTTTATAATAAAAGTTTTGAAAAAAAAATTTTTTTTTGTCTAATATTTATGTTACAATAAGAATTTTTCAATTTGCAGGCGAAACCGAAATTTTACCTCAGCGATGATGATGATAGCATTTGTACCCAACTAGTGTGTGCTCAGAGTCTGCTGGATACTCTGAGCACACACTAGTTGGGCACAAACGCTATCATCAACCCACAGAGGTACAATTTTGGTTTTGCCCGGAAAGTTTACTCTGGGCGACACCAGGCAAATGTCCGCAGATGGCTCACTTGCGTAACCTCTACAAATCACTACAAAAGTCTAATAATTTCTGTGTATATAATAGCCTCAAGTAAAACGGTCACCTATGAAAAAATATCAGTCCCAAAAGAAAAACAAGGTTCTATATTCTTCGCCCCAACAAACACTGTCTGCAACAACCTTTGTGTGCCAAACTTTTTTTTTTTTTTCTCGTCAACTATTTTCACATTTTTTCGCTATACTCCGCGAAACTTTTCTTGGCAATGCAGTGGAAGGTACAGGCTCGCGTCCCCTCTCCCATTTTGAGTGTACGCAGGCTCTCCTCCTCCCCCATTTCCAGGGAGGGGAGGAAAGCCCGCGCACACTCAAAATGGGAGAGGGGACGCGGGCCTGTACCTTCCACTGCATTGCCAAGTTGTCACAGAGTATAGATGGCGCTATAGTTTTGATCTTCCAGGTCTGCTGCCAGACTACTACATAAAAATTTTTTTAAAAATGTGATGAAACCAAAACTTTTGAACAAAACAAATTAGTATTTGGTTTGTTGCTCAAAGGCAACACTCGTCAACTAAGAGTTAAGTGGGTGGCATTGGGTCGTGATACAACATAATGCATCAAGTACATGCAAAAAAGCCTTCCTTTACTCGCCAATGACGTGTGGTGCACACAAAAAGATTAATTTTAGGTTGCGG